GCGGGGTGGTCGGCTTCGCCGACCGGGACGCCATCATCCGGGCGTTCGGCGCCCTCGGCTTCCCCAACTGCGGAGGGGCCATCGACAGGACGCACATCCCCATCCGTGCCCCGGAGCACCAGGCCTCCTAGTATGTCAGCTGAAAGGGGTACTTCTCCGTCCTCCTGCAGGTCGTGTGTGACCACCAGGGCCAGTTCACGGACATTAATGTGGGCTGGTCCAGCAAGGCACACGACGCACGGGTGTACCGGAACTCCTCCGTGTGCTAGAGGCTGTAGGCCGGGACCTTCTTCCCCGACCGCCACATCAGGGTCGGGGACGTGGACATGCCTGTGTGCCTGGTGGGGGATGCAGCCTACCCCCTACAGCCCTGGCTCATGAAGCTGTACACGGGGCACCTCAACCCCTCCCGCCAGGCCTGTAATGCGAGGCGGACCAGGGCCCGTATCGTGATCGAGGGGGCCTTCGGCCGACTGAAAGCCAGATTTAGGTGCCTCCTCACCCGCCTCGACCTCGCTGAGCACAATATCCCTCCCGTGGTGGCAGCATGTTGTGTGCTGTACAATTTGTGTGGGGCTCATGGGCTCCCTGCTGTGTCAGGATCCCTCTCTAGTTGTCTTTCTGAGTGCTGCCGCTCACTATCGTTCCTAATACCTGAGTCAGAGCTTAGCCTCGCTGGAATTCTTTGTAAATCCCAAAGTTGTGGTGGCATGTCTCTGATTCCACCAAGGTCACATGTGGTTGTACTTATTCAGATGGCATTACTACATTTGTGTGTCTCCTTTCTCCAGAGTTCCAGCTGTGTTGGTATGTGTCTGTGCCCTCTGAAGCTGGTCTCAATTGCCTCTGGTTTGGCTACCAAATCCCTTTCCTGAGGAGGAGCCTGCACTATGCATCAATCAGCGTAGACTGATAGGAAAAGAACTTCACTACAATGAATTCCAAAACTTACCTTGGGAAGTCCCCACCCTTTCTGTGAGAGAATAAGGTTAATCTCTCCAGAATATTTTAAAAGCCTTTGGTCCACGGTAAACACAGATATAAAGCCCAAGCCAGGGTCTAAGATTCTCTCACACCTCCCGGGGTCTGCTACTCATCATCATTATCAGTCAGTAGCATTCCTTGTAAGCTGTGCACTTGTGCAGACCTTCAGAAGAGATTCACCTGTTGCCCAGCTGATTAGCAGAGTGCCCACAGCTAGGTTTTGTTTCAGCTGGTGGTGCACATTCACACATGCTTCTGTGCACATACAATGTATTCTGCACATGGAAAAAATCTGCACATGGATGGAAAATTCTGGAGGGAACACTGTCACTCAGTGCATCTAATGTTTCCTTTGCTTGCTAGGCACTCAGCCAGTTGGCACAGAGTCAGTCCCTTAACACCATTGTAAGTGACAGAAGAGACACAATACTTTCAAGGCAGGAGGAAAATGGGATCAAGATCCTTGTGCTCTATATGATTCCCAAGTAATAATGCCAGTCTTTCAGCAGCTGTGTCTGGACCAGTATCTCTACACTTCAGATAGAGATCCTGCAGGGGTTTATAAAGCGCAATTTATCCCATTTGTCCTGGAGGGCAGTGTTTCCCTCATTTTGATTGGTGCCTGAGTAGCTGGAATAGCAGTGGGATTCTTCAGGTGCTTGGGCCTCTACTCAGCACAGATTGTTTGACCCAGATTTGGCGATGGCTATTGATATTTGCTGGGCAGTCTGGCAGGGATGGCCTCAAACACAAGCAAGAACTAAACATGCAGATCCCCCTACCCGATATCGGGGCAAGAGTTACTAGATACTGCAGAGTCCCTAACAAACAGTTTATAGCCCAATTCCCACCACTCTGGGAGAGAAATCAGAGGAGGAAGCAGCTTCTAGATCTGCTTCCCCCAACCCCATCTGTACTGTGTGCTTTTCTTCCCCAAACTCCTTCCTACCCCACCCCCACCCTGCTTGCTACTTCTCTGAGCAGGAGCAGAACGCTCTGCTTTCATCTCGGTCCAAAGGGCTCTGGGTGGGCAGCCATGGCTGCTGCTGAGCTTAGGGTAGCACTGCAAGCTGAGCTGAGCTGTGCCTGCAAGGAGGCTGAAGCTGACCATGGGGGCCTGACTGAGCCCTCTTCTAATTGCCGACATTGAGCTGATGTTGTTTTTGGCCTAGGACAGAGCCATTACTCAGGAGTTTCTGTTAAAGTGATTCTTTGTTAAGCCTTCACTCTCCTCTCACCCCCGCTCTCCCTCTGAGCTGAATAGTTCAGAGCTGCAGTATCAAGTCCATTGCCATGCCACAGGCTCAGGCAGCTCTGAAATTTCCATTAAAGAAGAAAAGGATTTACTGAACACTCAGGATATGTCTACACTGCAGTTAGACACCCACACCTGGCCCATGCCAGCAGAGTAGGGCTCACACTCCTGTGCTAAGGGGCTGTTTCATTGCTGCAGAGAGGTTCATGCTGGAGCCTGAACTCTGGGACCCTTCCACCTCACAGGTCCTAGAGCCCAGGATCCAGCTTGAATTCAAACATCTACACAGCAGTTAAGCAGTCCCACAAGCCTGAGTCAGTTGGTACGGGCCAGTCATGGGTTTTTAATTGCCATATAGACACACTCGGGGTATGTCTACACTACAAAGTTAATTCGAACTAACAGCTGTTAGTTCGAATTAACTTTGTAGTGTAGACATACCCCGAGTGTGTCTATATGGCAATTAAAAACCCATGACTGGCCCGTACCAACTGACTCAGGCTTGTGGGACTGCTTAACTGCTGTGTAGATGTTTGAATTCAAGCTGGATCCTGGGCTCTAGGACCTGTGAGGTGGAAGGGTCCCAGAGTTCAGGCTCCAGCATGAACCTCTCTGCAGCAATGAAACAGCCCCTTAGCACAGGAGTGTGAGCCCTACTCTGCTGGCATGGGCCAGGTGTGGGTGTCTAACTGCAGTGTAGACATATCCTGAGTGTTCAGTAAATCCTTTTCTTCTTTAATGGAAATTTCAGAGCTGCCTGAGCCTGTGGCATGGCAATGGACTTGATACTGCAGCTCTGAACTATTCAGCTCAGAGGGAGAGCGGGGGTGAGAGGAGAGTGAAGGCTTAACAAAGAATCACTTTAACAGAAACTCCTGAGTAATGGCTCTGTCCTAGGCCAAAAACAACATCAGCTCAATGTCGGCAATTAGAAGAGGGCTCAGTCAGGCCCCCATGGTCAGCTTCAGCCTCCTTGCAGGCACAGCTCAGCTCAGCTTGCAGTGCTACCCTAAGCTCAGCAGCAGCCATGGCTGCCCACCCAGAGCCCTTTGGACCGAGATGAAAGCAGAGCGTTCTGCTCCTGCTCAGAGAAGTAGCAAGCAGGGTGGGGGTGGGGTAGGAAGGAGTTTGGGGAAGAAAAGCACACAGTACAGATGGGGTTGGGGGAAGCAGATCTAGAAGCTGCTTCCTCCTCTGATTTCTCTCCCAGAGTGGTGGGAATTGGGCTATAAACTGTTTGTTAGGGACTCTGCAGTATCTAGTAACTCTTGCCCCGATATCGGGTAGGGGGATCTGCATGTTTAGTTCTTGCTTGTGTTTGAGGCCATCCCTGCCAGACTGCCCAGCAAATATCAATAGCCATCGCCAAATCTGGGTCAAACAATCTGTGCTGAGTAGAGGCCCAAGCACCTGAAGAATCCCACTGCTATTCCAGCTACTCAGGCACCAATCAAAATGAGGGAAACACTGCCCTCCAGGACAAATGGGATAAATTGCGCTTTATAAACCCCTGCAGGATCTCTATCTGAAGTGTAGAGATACTGGTCCAGACACAGCTGCTGAAAGACTGGCATTATTACTTGGGAATCATATAGAGCACAAGGATCTTGATCCCATTTTCCTCCTGCCTTGAAAGTATTGTGTCTCTTCTGTCACTTACAATGGTGTTAAGGGACTGACTCTGTGCCAACTGGCTGAGTGCCTAGCAAGCAAAGGAAACATTAGATGCACTGAGTGACAGTGTTCCCTCCAGAATTTTCCATCCATGTGCAGATTTTTTCCATGTGCAGAATACATTGTATGTGCACAGAAGCATGTGTGAATGTGCACCACCAGCTGAAACAAAACCTAGCTGTGGGCACTCTGCTAATCAGCTGGGCAACAGGTGAATCTCTTCTGAAGGTCTGCACAAGTGCACAGCTTACAAGGAATGCTACTGACTGATAATGATGATGAGTAGCAGACCCCGGGAGGTGTGAGAGAATCTTAGACCCTGGCTTGGGCTTTATATCTGTGTTTACCGTGGACCAAAGGCTTTTAAAATATTCTGGAGAGATTAACCTTATTCTCTCACAGAAAGGGTGGGGACTTCCCAAGGTAAGTTTTGGAATTCATTGTAGTGAAGTTCTTTTCCTATCAGTCTACGCTGATTGATGCATAGTGCAGGCTCCTCCTCAGGAAAGGGATTTGGTAGCCAAACCAGAGGCAATTGAGACCAGCTTCAGAGGGCACAGACACATACCAACACAGCTGAAACTCTGGAGAAAGGAGACACACAAATGTAGTAATGCCATCTGAATAAGTACAACCACATGTGACCTTGGTGGAATCAGAGACATGCCACCACAACTTTGGGATTTACAAAGAATTCCAGCGAGGCTAAGCTCTGACTCAGGTATTAGGAACGATAGTGAGCGGCAGCACTCAGAAAGACAACTAGAGAGGGATCCTGACACAGCAGGGAGCCCATGAGGGATAGCAGTATTAGGTTATATTCAGTGATTCTGATAGCAAGTTCAATCCCATTCCTCCCAAAACCGACTAGTGGTGCTTTCTTCCCACAAAATTTGTGCCATGTCCTAGATTTAAAACTGCCCCATGCCAGTCCACAGATATAGAAACTAGCAGTGGTCACTCTCAGGCAGAAAAGTATCAGTTACCTGGTGCCGGGCTCTGCTCTGCTCCAAGAGCTGTCGGGACTGAAGCTTCTGCTGCTGAAGTTGTTGTACGGCAAAATGAAGCTGATAGCTGCCAGCAGTAGGCTGATACTTGGGATGTGCCAGCTGACTTCCTGTCACCTTGCTGTAGACACTGTTGTCTAATTCTCCTTCCCAGGCAAAATTGTTACTCTTTAGAGCCCTGAGAAGAAAACAGCCATCATATATGTTATCTATCTCCTTGACCCTGCATGCACGGCCAGAGGAGCTGCTGCCCACTGGGCATCACTGCTCCCCAGACCGTTACTAGTACCTTCACAGGCATCTGATTAGCAACAAGGGATGTAACAGAATAACCATTTAAATGGTTAACCAATATGCCTGGGTTTATCTGTTATTGTTAACAGTTACATACAGGCCCCCACCTGAAATCAACTGGGAAGCCAGTTGACACCCCACAGGGGGACATTGCATCAGAGCCCAGGGCAGCAGCTGGTTCCCTGGGAGTGAGGCTGGCAGCTGGGAGCCAGAGTGTGCCCAACACTGCTGCCACTGTATCAGAGGCAGCAGCATGGTGAAGCAGCTGGCTCCCTGGGAGCAGGGCGGCAGATGTGCACTTAGGCTGCTGCCCCATGCTGTTGGCTCTGCAGTATAACGCTTATTTTGCAGAGCCCACAGTGCAGCTGGCTCTCCGGGAGTGGGGTCAGCCAGCTTTGCTTCCAGAGATCCAGCTCCGCTGAAGGCTCTGTGGTATAAGTTTTATACTGAGTTTTTCAGTGGTTACACAGTTACCTAAATAAACGCCTTTTAACATCCCTATTAGCAACGAGTGGGTGGCACTGGCAAGTATAACACATGATGCACATGTCACGCGTAAGCTGATAAGAAGGGCCTGCCTCCAACAGGGAGAGTGTCTAGAAGTCTCAGCTGGAGCTATGTTACTATTGCTACCAAGTCTTAGGTAAACAATTGCAGAGAAACAAGAAGAGAAAACCCAGGGGTTTTAACATTAGAACACGATCATGGCTGCCTAGCTAGCACCAAGGTGCAAGTCAGCCTTGGAGCCTGCAGAGTCAGGTATCCACAGAGTTAAGTGGCTGAGCTAAGGGAACTACATTCTTCACCACTAGACCTACGGCAGAGTGACAGGATCACAATGTGTCCTAGAGAGCCTGGGATATATGAAGATATACCTATCTCATAGAACTGGAAGGGACCTTGAGAGGTCATCAAGTCCAGTTCCCTCCCCGCACGGCAGGACCAAGTGCCATCCCTGACAGATTTGCCCCAGATCCTTAAATGGCTCCCTCAAGGATTGAACCAAGGGACATTGGTTGTTAGCATCTCCATCCTGCTTCCTGTGGGGCACCTATACCCTTCTGACCTATTTCAGGCACTTTTCAGGCCCTTGTATCATGCCCACCACCACAGGCTACTGTTCATCATTATATAACAAACCAAGTAGAAGTGAGTAAAATTACTTTGGCCCTCACATCATTGGGTCTTAAATTGTCATCTCTGCCTCTTTTCTAACTGCTTTGAAGGCAGTGTGGCCTAATGAATACAGCAGACTTGTGATTCAGAAGATTAGGCAGGGGTCTAATCCTGACTCCACCGTTGAGTCAGTGGGAGATCTTGGGCAAGTCACTTCTCCCATCTGTTTCCCCTTCTGTCCTTTGTCTTTCTTTTCTAAACAGGCTGCAACCTCTTTAGGAGCAGAGACTGTTCCTCACTATGTGCACCTAACACAACAGGCCCTGATCTCATAATCATATATATAGTAGCACAATGTCTGAGAGTCTGTAACGCTGAAATGCTGGATGTTCCCTCTAGGGGGCGCTGTTGCCTGAAATGTTGGCTGTTCCCTCTAGGGGGCACTGTTGCCTGAAATGTTGGCTGTTCCCCCTGGGCGGTGCTGTTGCTGAAATGCTGGCTGTTCCCTCTGGGCGGCTCATGCTGCATGGGGAGTATGGGGCCCAAACAGCTGCTTGCGCCGTTTTGTCCTCCGCAGCAGCCCAGCTGAGCGGTGCAGAAGTCAGCCGAGCGCCATGGCGGGAAGGGAAGAGGGACGGGGGGGTGATGTACATGGCCACGGGGCGGAGCCTGTGGGCGGTGCTGTTGCTGAAATGCTGGCTGTTCCCTCTGGGCGGCTCATGCTGCATGGGGAGTATGGGGCCCAAACAGCTGCTTGCGCCGTTTTGTCCTCCGCAGCAGCCCAGCTGAGCGGTGCAGAAGTCAGCCGAGCGCCATGGCGGGAAGGGAAGAGGGACGGGGGGGTGATGTACATGGCCACGGGGCGGAGCCTGGCCATGTACATCACCGCCCCGCCCCCCTTCACCTGCTGCCGTGGTGCTTGGCTGAGTTCTGCGCCACTCATCTGGGCCGCCATGCAGGAGCAAACAGCTCAAGCGGCTGTTTTGGCC